TTAATAAATGTGCATGGTCAAAAAGTGCGATTGTGGGCGATAAGTTGGTCATTTTATGGTCAGTAAGTTGGCTGACATGGTCATTTTTGTATGAATTAACGTTATTTGAATAGACAATATGTACTAAAAGTTTGAACGGCACTCAACCGTATAGTGCGCACTCAATGTGTTTTCGGAAAATGTATACATATAATGTAGTCATATAAAGTGCTATTCAAAAATAACCATGTCAGCCAACTTACTGACCATAAAATGACCAACTTATCGCCCGCAATCGCACTTTTTGACCATGCATATTTATAAATGACATAATTAAGTTTATGAACATACAAATTAAACTAGAATTCCCAACTTTCCGTATCGAGAAATTCCTTCTTAGTGAAGAAACTAATTAAAAATCTCGTGGTTTTCATTTAATTTAGTTTTGAAATATAAGAATGAAAACCAGTCTAACTAATCAATCCATTGTTACAATAATAATTTTTTGATTATTTGTCACTATAAACTTCATATATTTATGGTATTACTAAATATTCATAATTTAAACATAGGTTTTCGAGTTTGACATGGCGTTTCTTGACTCTCGGTCACCGATACACTTGGGGTCCACACCTGAAGACCACAGGCCGTCCTCTCGGCAAAGGCGCGTTTCGTTACCGACCAATTGGTATCCATCATCGCACGAGAACCTGACAATAGTACCTGGCCAATACCTGTTCTCAGACTTGCGACCATTGAGGGGCTTCGGTAGGGCCGGGCATCGGGTATCTGTAAGTGAAACACACATATAATTAGCATTTGGCGTCTGAATGGACGGGTATATAGTCTCACATTTCCTATTAGCCTCATTGGCCAGGTAGAGTGCGTAGGCCTCGTGTTGCTTGGTCACTTTGGCGTAGTCCTTGTTGAGGGTAATCACGTAGTCGTACTGACAGGCCACGGAGTCGGCGCACACGGACTCCATTTCGGGGCGCAGGTGTTCGGCCCAATCGGGCAGTCGCGGGGGTAGACCGAAGTCGGGCAGGAAGTTGGGGTCGTCGTAGTGGGCGAACGGTATGGCGTCGTGATGGAAGAGGGAGGCCACCT